ACACACAGTGCCCCACCCTTTCACCGGAGGACAACCACCACCACCATATCAGAGTCTAAAGACAAAAAAGCAAAAATGACCATTGGAGCACAGATCATCGCAATGCATAAAATAAAGTACCAAAAAAACAATAAGACGCAATTCATAAATACAAGATGTTGAGAAAGAGAACTTTATCAGGAAAACCTTAGGCTGCTATTTCTAAACAAGCTATACTCACGCTTAATTTAGCATAAAAGCCTATTGTGTGAGCAGAAGGGGGAGGCTAAAAAAGTGTCCAAGATCATAAGCTGCTAACACTTTGAAGAAGCCGTATATATGTACTACAATATAATCCAGGGTATGAACGAACTTCGCACAAAGTACTAGTGGCAACCAAACAGACAATGCAGGACTCCTTTTCTTTTTTGAATAGTTACCTGTAAGAGGTGCAGAAACTAATTTGTATACTCTTTCTATCTCTCCTACCTTCATATTATTCACCATATGTAGTTTCCTTTTAAAAGGAGAAAGTGCATAGGGTAGATCAAAATAAAGATCACAGAAGGCACAAAGAAAATATAAAAATACATTTATAAACAAAAATACTGGGGCATTTTCACCAACCTTCTTCAGAAATGACATCAGAGAGGATGGGGGTAACCCTGGGTTTGATTTACTTGCCCTTGAGATCTTAATGCTTTGAGTCCTAAGCGAACCTAAAGCATCCTGGATGGCACTTAAAGTTCCATTTGTGGCAGTCTCCTGCAAAAGTGAATCATGTTCAGTGTGTGAATTATTCGTCATCCTAATTGAAGAACCAACTGTGATCTGGGATTTCATGGATGAAAATTAAGGGGGAAATTTTACCATAAATGTTTTCTCATCAAGGGAGAATATTCTTCCTTTTCTCAATTAAGCATTTGTGTAAGACATGGAGGTATCGGTTGCTTGTGAGTTGTGCCTACTTCTAAAGAAACCAGCTCTATGAACCAGCCAGTCAATCAACCAGTTCATCAACACTATGTCCATATATCATAACTTCTATGGCTTAAACAAGCAAGAGA